GTTTTTGTAAATACCTGACATGATTATTGCAGAATTTGGTTAGCTGGGGCTGATTGATGAATATAGTTCTCACTTCCTCTTGATCAGCTAGGGAAGTTTTCTCTGAAACATCCTCTGTCTTCTCATAGCCTGTAAAAACACAGCATGATTTTCCACATAAATAGATTTACTTACACAAGAGTCAAGGCACTTCATGAGACAAAAAGGACATTTATTGTGGACGTGAACTCAATGTATTTCCATTTCTCACAGGTAATGACCCCTGAAAAAACAGAAAAGTCTTTTTTATATATTCAAGAAGCTCAGTAAAAACCTGCACTCGCCACTGACCAGCCTTACATTGCAAAGATCACTGAGAGTGGCATATCTGTGAGACCTACCAGCTCCCTCTGCATTCATGACTGCATCTTATTAGATCCATGGATTCTTGTATTGCCAGTTTAACTGTTCCCTGAACTGATCACTCTCCACCAAGGGAAGTCTTTTTTGTTTTGGACTTTCCAACTGGTATCAGGATCCTGGGGTTCCTGAAAGCTGATTTTATCAGTAGACACCACAGGGAAGAAGACGCTGTTTACTGCATGCTATTCTGCCTTTTGTTCCTGGGTTCCCTGCAGCACGCAGCCTAGAGGCACCACCTTGCCCAGTCATCATCTTCCTGCTGTTACGTCTCAAGGAGAACAAGAATGGTATCTATAACCCCAGGTAGGCTGTGACTATGCCACCTAAGTCCATCTCTCTCTACTCCCCTACAGCCACCTGTTGCTGCTTTGACCTCTTGTAGGTTCACCTTTTCTATATGTGAGCTTTGTCAAGGACTCCTTGCTAATTCATAGAATGCTTTGGTTTGGAAGGAACCTTAGAGATCATGTAGTTCCAACCCTCCTGTCATGGGCAGGGAACCTTCCAATCAATCAGGTTACTCAGAACACCATCCAGCCTGGTCTTGAAACTTCCAGGGATAGGGAGTCTGCAACCTCTCCAGGCAACTTGTTCAATGCTTACCATGCTTATAGTAAAGATCTTCTTTCTAATAGCTAATCTCTTTCAGCTTAAGGTCAATCCCCCTTGTCCTATCAATAAATGCCCTCGTTAAATGTTCCTCTATAACCTTCTTGCAGGCCTCCTTTAGACACTGGAAGGCTGCTAGGAGGTCTCCTCTGAGCCCGCTCTCCTTCAGGCTGAACTCTCTCAGCCTGTCTTCACACGTGTTCCAGCCCTGTGATTAACTCAGTGGCCTTCCTCTGGACATGCTTCTGTAGGTCTGTCTTTCTTATGCTGGGGGCCCCAGAGGTGGATTCAGTACTCCAGGTGGGGTCTCACAAGAGCAGAGAAGATGGGCAGAGGCACCCATCTGCCCATCGAGGTGCTGACAGCTGGACCTGCTGGTCACGCCTCTTTTGATGCAGCCCAGGATGTGGTTGGCTGTCAGGGTTCCAAATGCACACTCAAATCCTGTGGAGCCTCTCTTCCACCAACACCCCAAGTCCTTCTCCTCAGGGCTGCTGTCAGTCTATTCTCCACACAACCTGTATTTGTGCTTGGGATTTCCCTGACCCAGGTGCAGGACCTTGCATGTGGCCTCGTTGAACTTCATGAGTTCACACAGGCTGTCAAGGTGCCTCTGGATGACATCCCTTCCCTCCAGCATGTCAGCCACATCACACAGCCTGGCATTGTTAGCAGACTTGCTCAATCTCACTGTCCAAATCACTGACAAAATGTGAACAAAAAGGTCAGCTCCCATACTGACCCCTAAGGAATGCCAATTGTCACTGCTTTCCACTGAGCTGTTGATTGCAATTCTTGGAATGCAAACATTCAGCCATTTCTTTATCCACTGGGTGGTCCATCCATCAAATCCATGTGTCTCTAGAAACAAGGATATTGCGGGGAACAGTGTCAAATGCCTTGCTTCATCCAGTCCTTCTGCCACCTTGGCTTGATTTTGTGCTCATTGTGATGGACCAATCTTGAGCTGGAAGGATGTGATCATTGGAAGCCAAAGCCATTAAGCTGGTTAATCTTAATTGGTTGGTCTCATTGGTTAATGAGATTCCTTCGCTTGGTCCAGATTTTCTTTGTGACACTAGCCAGATTATTCCCAGAGAAGTGGCATCAGAATATTCTTAATTTTGTGTGTGCTTAATTTGAAATAGTTTTATTAGACTCACTGACATTCCCAGCACCTGCCTCCACTAGCCAGTGAAAGTAGAGCTTTCTGTATGTTCTTCTATGGACTATGAGGAATCTTGTGCCAGCCTGCATCCCAACTTTCAACTGTAAAAATTTATTCTTCTCTCCCAAGAATATTCATTAATATTTTGTCAACCAGTCAGCCACCACCTTGCTGACAACAGGCCTAAGCAGTCTTCAGGCTGGAGCTTGTACAGTATCAACAGGTATAGTATAAATCAATCACCATAAAGTTTTAACATGCTACCAGTAATGTGTGTATATAGTTGCTCGTTAAAAATACACTGTCCATTCTGTATGAGAATGAGGAAAAGACACTGAAAACTCCTATGTTATAACGCAACTGAATACATCAGAATGTATAGCATATAAAGGATAATTAGGGCTGTACATGAAAACTTAATGCTTATTTCTATCATATTCCATAAATGCTTGCAAACACGTTAGGCAAAACCCAAGCCATTCACCAGTCCACGGGCCCAGTATATTGCCTCTTACCTATTCAAAATGCATTTCAGACACTATTTTGCAAGATCAAGTCTCCACACATTGAGAAAAGGCTCAGCAGAAACTTTTTATTTCATCCCATTTCCTATTCATAATTCACAGGCTCTATTACGGTACAGGAAAACCCCACTACTACATCCACCCTCTGCAATTTCTCGATTTCCTTCCTCTCCTAATGAAAGGCACACACATTCAAACATCAGTATTTATCTCAAGAAGTCTCTCCAGAGGAAGGAAAGCCAACCTAACAGACTGGCCCACCTTAACAGGTGCCAACAATATATTCAAGGAACCACACAGATTCAATTGGCAGCCTAACTCAGAGAAAAAACCATAATATCTTCCCTAACAACAAATTGCAAATAAATCAGTAACTAATGACACAAACAAACACAGCCCCCAAACCAATTAGAGCTTCTTTCAACAAGAGCACCCATTGAAGACCATATTTTGACCCAATAATAAATTTGGAATAAATTTTTGAAGATCTCTCTTCAAACACTCGGTATTTGCAGGGACTCTTCCTAAACCAGTCCTGATTACGAAGTTTCTACATTAGTAAAACACCAACACTATATTCCATACCCCTAATTTTAACTTTAGGTAGGGCAGTTTAGACTTTTGGCTTTCATTCCTTAAAAGAGTCTCATTTTCACAACAAGATTGTAATGCTATATACAAATATACTACAATATGGAAATAAAGGGAAGGAAAGAAGAACCCAAACAAATTGCCAAAAGGATTTTAATACACTCCTCTTCATCACAAAAAAATTCTTTTTTATTCTCTAAGTAGAGCTTTCAAAACCTTTGAATGATGATGCTGCAGCCAAGAACCTCTTACACAACTAAGTGCTGTGGTTTAACCTGGCAGGCAGCTAAACACCACATAGTCACTCACTTGCCTACCCCAAGTGCTGCGGCAGACAACCAGAAAAAAGATAAAACTCATGGGCTGAGATAAAAACGGCTTAATAGGAGAGAAAAAGAAGGGAAAATAATGATAAAAGAGCACACAAAACAAGTAATGCACAATTGCTCACCAACCACTGACCAACGCCCATCCAGCCACTGAGCAGCAGGCTGCCAGCCCCCTGCCAACTCTCTCTTTTTTCAGCATAATACCAAAAGGTCTGGGATATCCCTTTGGTCAGCTAGGAGGCAGCTGCTCTGGCTGTGTCCCCTTCTTTACCTTTTGAATTCCCAGCCTCGTCCCCAGCAGGGCAGCATAAGCTGACAAGTCCTTGATTTAGTGTAAGTGCTTTGCTGAAACAATTGAAACATCAGTGGGTTATCAACATTATTCTCATCCTAAATCCAAAACACAGCATTGTATCTGCTGCTAGGAAGAAAACTAAGTCTATCCCAGCCAATTCCAGAACAGTCTGGTTGCTAGCTCATATTTCTGAAGCACGTGGCATAGTTCAAAGACGGAATCGTTATGAAAAAGAAAGTGTCTTCAGAATTATTTGTTGCAAAGCCATGACAGACCTTCAGTTGCAGAACAGGCACTGGGAACCTGACCCATCAGTCTGTCCTTCTGAAGAGTCAGAGCACAGAAGGACATTTAAATGACCTTCTTGAACCTGCTGGTACTACTGAGATGGCCAAGCCTGTATAGAACTAAACAAAGATTTTTCACTGTTGTGAAACACTGCGATCAAAACACACTTGGCAGAAATAAACCAGATCACTAAACCTGGTAAACTGTTATATAGTCCTAAAGACCAAAAGCAGAAATATCTAAGGATACATTAGGCACTACAAAAACCAATAGTTTACTGAAGACAATCTGATGACCACTACAGAATTTCAAAATACATTCTTTCTTCATGTGCAAGTCATCTTACCTTACCCCAGTTCAGCTTCTGTTGACTAGATTTTGTACAAGAACACCAACAAGAACTAGTTATTACCTGCTAGTGTTAGTAGGCAGCATTATGGCATCTCAACTCTCTACCCTTTCTCAAAGACCTAATATAGTTCACTGAACTCCACCAACACACAGAGGAAAAGGATTAATGCTTCAATCTTCAGAGAACCCTAATAAGGCTTGAGAAGAACAATTCCACTTACCCAGAATCTCATCAAAAGAATTACTTGAATGATTCAATTTCATATTATTTAATAGATGCATATATTAACTGGAAGCTATATATAGCTAAAATAACCACAGTTAGTTACTGTATTTAATAAAGCTTTATGTAGGCCACACTACTCAAAGATTCCCCTTGTGTTTTGCAATTGCAGAATACATGACACCAATTTCCTATATTTATTTGAGAGGTCCAGATCTTGTGTGCCTTGAGCGAGATTTTATTGATACACATACCACTTCACAATGGTAAGCAGCACCTATTTCTTGCAACAGGATAACAGACACAAAACCCTATTAAAACATGGTTATAAGCATGCTTGGTTATCCTTTATCAGCCACGAAGAATTTGCAGAGGTTTGGAAGAATGGCACAAAATCAGTAGCTCCTTTTTGCTCAAATTCCTTTCTCTATGCAGGTAACATGTTGACTTACAAACCCTTAAACACATACAAATTTTATTTTGCAATAAATTACAGACTGTAGTGTCAATTCTTCTGTGCAACTGCTGACCACTTCTTGAGAATGCTACATGCGCACATCATTCTGACAGTTCTGATTTGGTTATTTTCATCTGAGCACATTTCATTTTTTCTAATAACAGTATCACTATCTCTCCATGTGAGAGAGAGCTTAGTTCTCTCTGAGATGGTGTTCAAGACAGTCCAGCCTGGTAAGGTAGTTCATGATCCATGGAAAAGGTTTCTGAAGCAGGAATGAGTTGCTGCAGGGACAGGAGAGAAAAGTGAGATACTAAGCCCATAGATACAATACCAAAATTCTACAATAAGGCAAGTAATACCATCTGTCAGACCCCCAAAAGTCTTAGACTAAGGAATGGTCCACACCACGACAGAAGTCATGGAAGCTGTTGTTTGTGATTACAGTATCACCAGTGTTCCAAGAACACAGAGGGACCCTGCCAGTAACAACTCTGCATTGGGAGTAAGACTTTGGTGGAGCTCTCTGAAAGCAGCTTCATCATCACTTGGCATAGTGCTTATCTAAGAGACTTGGGTTGTTGCCAGAACTAGGGTTTGACAGTTCCTTTATGTCCCGGTCAATACACAGCAGAGTGCTGGAGTTCTCTGTTTTAGAAAACAGTAGCATTTATAAAGAGCTGTTTAGAAATGGCAACTATGTAGTCTAACTGTATGGAGTATCTGGACTTGGAAGCACTCATCTCAAAAACAAACAAACAAAAAAAAGGAAACTAATTTATGTTGGTTTCATTGCGAATTATATCTAAACAAAGACTAACTATAGATCCAATTAATTAGTGTCACATTAATATAAGATTAAGAAAACAGTAACAGATTTCAATTTTTTTTGAGTAGTACTACATATACACAGTACAATATGAGTCATATAGAATCAACTTAAAAGTTAAGTTTCTTAAAAGATGCTTTATACCTGCTGTCAGTCCTAAAGAAAGTGGTTTTGGTAAGCTTCTTAAACCCAGTATTTAACTGCTTCACAGCCTTCAACCTTGAAAAATAAACCAGACTTTTTTTTTTTCCCTTTTATTGCAATTTTAAATCTCAGCCAGTTACCTTTAGGGAGCACCACATTTATTCTGTTAATAACCATTAAGAGTTCTGGAATTAGATAATTTTAAAGACAGCATCAATTTTCCCAATTTATTTATGCAATGCTCAGCTTGCAGTGAAAACCAATTGTCTGGAAAAAGGGTAAGTGAAAAGGAATTGAAATTAAGCACTGAAAAACTGGACATTTAACTAGTCTCATTATATACATCTACTAATCACTATGATTATATAGACTGTTGCTCTGGTTGTAAACACATATTAGAAGTGTTCCTGAAAGGATGCACCTTCTCTCTGTCTTCTTAGAAAGATGCATCCTTCTATGTCTTTGTCAGTAACATTTCCTAGGCAGAGACAGACCTCCTACCAACCTACTTTTGGGGGAGGAAGGCATATAACATGGTAGAACTGGAAAAGAACATCAATCTAACAGCCCACTTCTAACCTATGTTTCTTTGTGCTTTTTCTTGCACAAAAGTTAAATAAAATATTCTTTCTTTGGAAGAAGGAAAAAAGATACAGGGAGGAAGTTTCTGCCTCCCTATACCAAACAAACAACAACAAAGCTAAAAAAAAAAATAAAAAATCATCAACTGGATATATGGTTTAAGCAAGAAACTTTCAGAAAAGGGGATAAATACAGCATAACTGCCTCAATACTTCTTATGCCATTACCGGGACATTTGTTATTGTTACCTACACCAAACAAAAATCACAGGCAGCCCCAACATACTGCTGCTTTGGGGTCCAAGATATCAAATGTTACTTCTGCATAAAATAAACCTTACAGCAATGTAATTCCACTCCAATGGCTCTTTTCACAAGGCAGCTGCTGACACGTTACCTGAGGTTAAACAAATCCACTTAGGCACGAGACTTCAGCACTGTCCGAAGCTTCCTGGCACAAGCCGTGTATCAGACACGCTTATTTGTGATGATCAGCGCACACGTACATGTTACACACAAAAGCGGGATTCCGGCTTATTCCCGGGCCGAGGATCCCAGGCCATGAGCCCCCGCTGCCGCTTGGGGCCGAGCAGCCACACACCGCAGGGAAAGCGAAAGCACCGCTGCCATCGCTGAGGGGCACAGCGCTGCGCGGGGCTCACCGGATACAGACAGCCATAAATGCGAGGCCTCCCCGAAACACCGCCCCCGCTCACGCCCCAGGCTGGGGTCGCTGCCGCCTCAGCCCCACGGTGGGCGCACGGCACGACAGGAGCCGGGGCTGAGGAGCGCGGCGGCGGCGCGACACCGGCTCCACCGCCCCCTCCCGGCCAGGCGGCGGACACCCCGCCGCGGCTCCGCGCCGGAACGCCAGCCGGGCTCCCCCGTCGCTCCCTGCCGGCGCGGGGAGGCGGGCGGCTCTTACCCTCTGCGCGGGAGCGGATCTCGGACACCGTTTTCTGCACCGCCGGCATCGCCGGGGCGGTGGCGCGGCCGCCTCCCTCCGACGGCGCGCCCTGCACCTGCCGCGCGCCGGGGCGCGCCCTGCGCCGCTGCGAGGCCCGGGGCGAGGGCGGCGGGTCCCGACGGCGGCGGCTCCTCCGGCAGCCCGAGGCGGCGGCTCCGGCAACCCGAGGCAGCGCCTCTCTCCGGCTGCGCCCGTCCCCGCTGGCGCCGCCGCTGCTCACTGACAGCCGCGGCGCCCGCGCTCCGCACTCGCCGGCCCCCTCCGGAACCTACCAACTCCGCCCTCCCCCCGCGCCTCCCCGTCCCGAGGCGTCCCGCCGCTATCTCCCTGTTCCCCGTGCTCGGGCTTGTCGGGTCACCGCGCCTAACCGGGCACCGGCACTACGGCGGTGTGTGTCCCGCCTCTGGAGCGAGCGAAGGGCTTCCGACGCGCCCCCCACCCCGTGACGCGGGGGAATGGAACGCGCCGAGCCCTGGGCCGCTGCCCGGCGCTGGGGGCGGGCGGGGGAAGCCCCGGGCAAGGTCGCCCGGTGGCTCCCCCCGCCGAGCGTGTGCACCCCGGTGGCCTTGCCGGGGGGCAGGGGCGGGGGGCAGCGCCTGGCGGCGAGCCGGCAGAGCCGCTCAGCCGTGGTTATGTGCAGAGCGGAGCCCCCGACTCCCTCCCTCCCTCGGTCTCGGGCGCGGTGGGGGCCGGGAGGCGTTCATCCGGAGAGGGAATTGAAACGGTGTTCCATAGCCTTCATTCAGGCGAGGAGAGTGTTTGTGCCACGCTCTGTTTGACAGGCAGCCTTCGAACTCTCGCCCGACTTTTTATTTTTAATCTCAGTCAGGATGCCGCAGCTTGACAGCCGTGAGTCAGTGTGAAGCCGAGCGCTGCTCCCGTGTGGGCTGTTGGGAAGGAGGTCCCAGCCGCAGATGCCTCGGGCGGAAGCAGCAGCAGCGCTTTCGCTTCCAGACCGTGACTCCGGGCTGACGGCAACAGGCTGAGCGGTGCCGCACGCCGTGCCCATGCCTCGGTGGAAAGCAGCCTCGGCAAAAACGGGATGCAGAAGAAAATAGGAAAGGTGGTGGGATTTGGAGGCAGGTCTGCTTGGCGTAATTACGTCTTGTATCTGTTTCAGGCATAAAGCATACTATGGCTGCCTAGATGATGATGGAATGGAATAAAGCTACTATTGTCTCATGAATCTTGAGTGGTTTTGAGGCTGACGTGTCCCCTAAAGGCCACCATTGTGTCCTCAAGAAAGTACATGACACAGCTTACAGATGTGGGATTGCTGCTGTTTTCACTAGAGAGCATATACACCCCCTATAAGAAAATAAGAGATATATAGTCTTTCTTGACAGCAAGAGAGTGAATATTTGATAAAAATGTATAAATTTAATCTCTGTAAATGGACCAAGCAAAACATGTTGATGTTGTTGGTATTTAGGGTTTAGTGATGGACCTGGCAGTATTATGCTAGTGGTTGGACTCAATGGTCTTAGAGGTCTTTCTCAGCATTAATGATTGTATGATTCTATGAAGCAGTGCATCATTCATGGAGGAAAGTGAACCAAGAATTTGTTTTTCTTAAATGCTGAGCTCACGTGTCAAGGAAGAGGAACACTTTGCTTCAGAGAAGACTGCATTAGGAAATAAATACTGTGGATTTCTTTCAAGTCGCCAGGTCAGAAAATCTGCTGGAGGGTATCCTTCAAAAGGGAATGCTCTTCTGCATCATCCTATGCAGCAGTCTGTGTGGGTTGTTTGTGTTTTTGTGCGTTCTTTCTTTTCTGAACCAGAAACAAAGATTGTAGAAAGATGTCTCTTCATGCATTTTTCTGGTAAAACAAAAGTGCCTGGAAATAGCATGCATTGCTCATCCAGTTTAAAGAAATAATCAGTGTGGGTCAGTCAGCTGTGGGCAGTCTTGGCTGGTGCAAATTACTTTCAGCAAGAAACAGCTTCTAGTTTTCGTGACATTCCATTGAAGCCTGACTGAAGCAGTTATTTTGGGGTCTCATGTATATACATACATATATATATATATATATATATAAATCTCCCAGCATCAGTTGAGCCCTTTTGTGGAAGAGAATCTTGAGGAGGGTGGGAGTGGTGGTTTGCAATTTCTAGCAGCTTCATTATTGTTAAAAGGCTGCAACGGAATTGTGAAATTCGCTATAAAGCAATATACATGCCAGTCAACATGCATTTCCTCCCAAATTACTGCAGTGCTGGTGACAAATAGGATTGTCACTTAAATCCACATTTGGATGCTATTTTATGTCTAAACTGGGTTTTTTGGCTGTAATATCCCTGGCAAGTAGTGCTTATTACTGATACCTGTGGGCAGCTGGAAGTGTACCCTCTTGAGAACAAAAGATACTATAGCAATGCTGCCAAGTGTTATTTAAAATTGTGAATAGTTATTTTACAAATAAGGCCACTATCTACCTCACAAAACAGTGCAGCAAAAAAATTATTAGCCTTAATCTTGGTATACTTTTGTGTACTCTGAGGAACTATGGAAGCTTAAAAGTCCTTTTAATTTTTTTTAAGAAAAGGCCTTTTTTTAAGTTATAGTATGAGTAATATTTGAAAGAATAAGTAAGATTCTTGCCATCAGTTAAGAAATTCTCAATTTTTCCAGTTTTTATTCTACAAAGTCTCAATGGTAAGACAAACATGTTTAACCATTTAGTTACACAACAGGCAGTTCATCCAGATGTCATCCAAAGAATGCAACTCAGCTCTATATTTCCTAACATTCCCCGTCCACTTGCAACATTACTCCAGGAGAAGAACAGTAGTGTCTATTTCTTCATTTCTCCCAACATGATCTGCCAGCAAGACCAGCTGGCCCTTGTATTTATTTCTTTCCTTTGGAAGACAACTGTATGAGCTCCATCCTTTCACCTCTTATGTGGAAATTGAACCTGTGTTACTCAAGAAGTTTCCATCTGCACATGCCACCCTGCCTGTTTTGATACAAACAGGTCAGAAAAGGCTTCTGCAGCTTTTTAAGCTGAGACTATGCTTAGTTTATGCACTTGAAAATGTGCTCTATATTTAAGGAATCCAATATTTTGCTTTGGATCATCACTTGTTTGGAGTGTACATGACAGGACTGCAAAACAGAAGCAAGCCAGTCTGCTTTCCAACATAGCTATAAATTAAACAATATGCCTATATTCTGCTTTAAAGATTAGATGACACTCTTAATTGAGTTTTCTCTTCAATTTCAATGTGTATTTTGAAATATGTGGAAGCTCTGGTGGAACAGATAGAAATTTATTAGCATTAATTTGTTAGCACACCCTACCTTTTGGAACAAAAGATGACAGAAACCTTGTTTTTAAAATATATGCAGAAAAATTGCATATTCATTGAGAGGAATAAGTTATTTCAGACATAAAATGTCTCGCAATGACAGCTGAAATGTTGAGCTAGTAAAAGAAAATTGTGAAAGAATACACGTTTATACATATGTCAAAAATATCACCTTCACTATGGCATAGTTTGATGATTTGACTGAGCTATGATGATCCAGTCTTACATCACCATTTCATCTGTAATGGCTTTCAGGGATATAGACTACTTAACCCAACTCAAATCTGTCCTTGCAAATAGTATAAACACTTAGTTTATTAGCAAATATAGAACTTTCCATTCTTTCTGGTATACTAACTGTGTACTATAGTAGCCTACCAGGGTAAAAAATATGCTATATAAAATGACTGCACATATAAAGCAGGATAAATGAGGCCTGCAGGCTTGAAGTTTTCACAAACTTGACATACATAAAGTTTTAGTCTAGATTTCCCCAGTAATGCTATTAATTCATGTGAATTTTCAGGGTGCAGTTTCCCTTTGTGATATATTGATAAGTGGTCAGGTTTCATACAATAATGGAAGGGAAAATTAATACTGTAATTTTTGCTGCTTTTCCAGAGCTTTGTGGAAAGGATTTCTGGTATATGTCTTTTTCTGCTTCATAGGATAGTGCAGCAACTGTTGGCTGTGCAGTTAATCTCAAACTCTCATAATTCTGACCTGTTACTTTTGTAATTGAATATACAGGATACTCCCATATCATGGGAAGTGTCTAATGAAATTTTATAAATAACTACATCTAAAACTCAAACAGATATGGGGAATCAACCATAGCATAAGCTTCTGCTATCTATTCTATAAGTAGATCAGATTAAGTGCTTTAAAATTCTTCCCGAAACCATTAAAATGGTAATTAGTTTTATTTACAAAATTACATCTTAACTCATTATTTTCTAAACTTTGGAATTTCTCATGTTAGGTTTTATATTCTCAGATAAACACATCTCCAAAGCAAGTTTTTAAAAATATTTGAATTTGCTGATATTTCAAATATTTCTAGTGAAATTCTTGACAGTTATTTTGGTAGTTTAACAGAAAACAGCAAATCTTCTGTTTGCCCACATATTACATCTGTGAAATTTTTATTATAGAATGTGCTCGTTTCATACAAGCCAGTGTAAATTTATGTTGATATCCTTTATGATTATGAAATACAAAACTGCTCCTTTTCTGAGGCAAAACATGTTAATAAAAGAAACCTCAACCCCCTGAAGTGGATGTTTAGACATATAGAACATGCCACAAATCACATTAAATAATTCAGTCTCTAGGCTGATTTATAGAAACCTGTGAAGGCATTCCTTTTAGTTTTCCCTCAGCTGCTGTAACAGTACCTGACTGCATAAACAAATCACCGGAAAGCATGAAAATCCCAGACAAACAGAAACAAAGCAGATCCAGAGTGCAACAGATGCTACATCTGTATATCCTGTTCTTTGTAGATCAAACTCTATACCTGAGCCTAAAGATCTTTTACTCAAATTTTCTTTATACTCTTACAGGTCCACATTCATGGCACTGAAGGACCAAAATACTTACGGATATGTAATTCCATAGAATAAAACCAAACTCAT